TAAACTTGTTCAAAAGGATCAATAAGATATTATTGATAAATATATTTAGCAAGAAATAATATGTTGTTGTTTTTTTTTTTAATGTAGAAAATTTATTTATACTTTTATATCTTGTTTGATATATGGTTCAGCACAATCAGATAAATCACCTTGTTGTAAAACTTTTTCAACCTAAATGTTTTTGAAAATAATACAATGAAAATGTTTATATAATAAATAGATGATTTTATTACTCGAATAATAAGATAAATATCAGGTGATGGAAATGATATTGGAAAAATAGCCGATAGACTTAATGTTGAACCATCAACTGCTGGTCGAATATGAATCATTTGTTTTAATGCGTCACTATTTAAATCATAATGAAAATTTTCCGATATCTAAAATTAATTAAAATATTCTAAATTTATATAAAATATAATTTAAATCAAACCTTTTTTCGTTCTTTATAATCATATAATGCTAATGTTATAAACATTGGTTCAATTTCCGGTTCAAATCTAAAATAATAAACACAAATTGAAATATTAAAAATATTCTTTTAAATTTTTTTACCTGAAATCTAAACATTTCACTTGAAGTTTAAATGTCGTATATGGTTGAAGTGGTTCAGCTGGTGGACGATATTCAATACAATCAGTCTATAAAATCATTTTAAAAAAGATAGTTCTAAACGATTTCAAACGTAGGAATCGTTATCAGATGATACTCTGAACTTTAATTGTGACTATATTCCGTGAAAAAATGACGTATGAGATTTTTATTTTTCTTCAATATATTTTATGTGATATAATAAAGACTTAAATTTTATCACAAAAATACAGATTTGAAATTCTCCGGCAGCTTGTAGTAAAATTTGGTGCTCAGGTACTGCATTTACCCGCTTCATCAGAAACAATTTTTTTTTTGTTTGATTACAAGTTATAAACTACAAATAATATTTATTTTCATATTATTTAACTTACATCTGCTTGAGGTGGATAAGAACTAAATAATTTTGAATAACGATTTTTTCCTCGTAATAATTCATTTTCTTTATCAACACTTTCAATTGGAATACGTTCAACTAAAAAAAACAACAATTAAATGAGAGAAAAAAAGAACTTTAGAAAAAAATTCTTACTCAAATGAGGCATTATTGTATCTGGTTCTGTTTTATCTAAATCATCTTTTGCTAAAACCCAACTACTTTTTATTGGATTTATTATTGAATCATTAATAACTAATTTTCTTGGACTATCCTAAAGAAAAATCAATTAAATATTTTCTAATAAGAAAGAATATAAATAAATTCTTTACTCTTTCTTGTTCAATTAAAATTTGTCGATTATCATCAATTAAATCAACTTCATAATCTTGTTTTGCTGTTTGTTTTAAAGCTTGCATTTGTTCTTGACGAACATTTAATAATGTTATTGCGCTACCATGATGATTATAACTTAAAATACAAACAAAAACAAAAAAAGAAAATAAATTTTTTTAACAAAATGAATATCAAAAAAAAAATATATATATACTTTCGACGAAGAAAAAAATGTTCACCATTAAAACTTTGTAAACAATCACGAATATGTGGATCATTCAAAGCTCTACAAAAAAAAGAAAATCAATCTTTTTTTTTTTATTTGAAAAATATTCAAACTCTTTTTCTGGCATAGCTGGAATAATAGTACGATATTGTCGATCAATACGAATAAAATCAATATCATCATTTGGATATTCAAGTAAATGATGTAATGGATCATTTTCAATTTTTTGTCGATGTTCATCAACATATTCTTCATAATCAATTGGATCAACTATATCAATCATATTTGTCGTCATTTTATTTGAACTTTTTGTATAATTCTATAATAAGAATGAGATAAAAAAAAAAAAAAAAGAAATTCATAAATTTTATTTTACTAAATCTGTAAATGTTAATTCTTCTTCGTCTTCTTTATTTTCATTCAATGGAAGAGATGAAATCTTTGATTCATTCGAAAGAAGTGAAATTACTTCTTGAAGATGTTCTCTATAAGAAAAATTATTCAAAATTAAATAACACATAAAAATTCAAACACAGACCGTAGACGAAGTGTACCAGCCATTTCATTGCTATTACCTTTCTTGCGAATAAAAAGAAACCAAATAGTTCAAATCGGATGATCAATATGTGATTAGCCATGAACGAACGAGTAACAATATTTCTATCGAAAATGAAGATTGGATATGTGCGCCCTCTCATATTGCAATTCTCCCATTCGATATTATTGTGATATTATTTGAAAAAAAAAACTTATTCAATATTAATTAATTTCAAATAAATATACAGTTTATTGATATTAATGAAATACGTATTTCATTCATAATTACCAAGTTCGAATATGTACATTCGCCAACGACCATTTATGGAGATACGCTGAGATCATAAGAAAATACGACGTGATTCAAATGTAAGCTTGTCTTCTGTGTAAACGGAGCTTAATGATAATTGGACGTGATCATACACGGTTACTGTATGCATAGTTTTAGAAATTCCTGGTGGAAATAACGGCCAAGCATGAATGGATCTCCTGAGGAAGAAAACAGTACATCGGCGTAAAAGTCTATACTACTAATAATAACTTCATTTAATTTAACCATAATACTGGATCATATCATACGGCAAAATATGGTCGTAAACGATTGGTTATGCAGTTCATAAACGTCAATCTAGATAGATTAAAATTGTTGATCAGTTATATTTGACTCTTTTCTTTTGAAAAAAGTTCTTTATAAAAATTTATTGAGAGATTTTTGTACGAAGTTTAGTAAGTCAAATTAAATTTAATATATTGTTGATGCTAAATAAATGTCAATGTGTGGGTGTGCGCTGGTTTTTTACTCATACCGACATTCATCCAGATACAAACGTTTTTTCAGACTGACATCGAAGTCGACTGAGTCATATTTTCAATTCTCTTGATAGGTATCGTTCTGCTGCAATAGTACTCAATGTGTGCTCATTTCTTGCTAGGGACGGTCACTCTTCTCGATATCTACTTTTCTTCTATTCAGGCACTTCTTTTGCATGAGTGTGCGCGTGATATTAAGACTCATACGCTCCACCCACACCCTTCTTTTTCGAGTGAATACACAGCACTATTTCACCAGTGAAGGTATTGCAAAATATTTGCACAAACACATATACACAGAACGATGTCATTTTTAATATAAGAAAGAAAGTAAAGAAGTAACCATTTCAATGTCTTTACAAACGCTGTATTTTCTTTTTCTATCGCTCGACAAACTTCTGTGTTACTGTTGGTTGTGCAATTCATTTTCTTTTCATTGCAATAAATAAGGCACATCGATAGTGTTACAATTTTTTCGTTCGCTATACTACGTCAAATTTACAAGTCGAGTATAGTTGACTTTTTACGGCATGAAAGCGTGAGTAAGAGCTATCATAACTACGTGACTTCACGGTCTTTTAATGCGTATTCTAAGTAGATTTGTTTTTTATCAATTGTTGACTTTGTGTACATATCGAGAACTTGATCGAGAAAATAATGCTAATGACAGTGGCGACAATGTAAGATACGATTCAATTGTTAGAGATACTTGAAAACACGTTTTTCGTCGATGTAACCTTGCGCAGAGTTTAAATCTCCTTATTTTTGAAAGAACTTAGTTTCGAGAATACAAAATTACCAAATATTGGAAATTTCACACTCGATCCTTTTGTACTGACTATTTTATTCCAAGAGTCTCATGTCTTGAATATCAATTCAAATGATAAAATCGATGAAATAGTGAGTATTCATAAAATGCTTTAAAAATACATGAAACAAATTTTTAGATGTATGGACTGAATCATGGTTTTTTTTTCAGATCAATTCAATAGTTTGCTACACTTCAGTCTAATAAATTTTAATGTTGTTTCCCTCTCTAAAGACATATCTTGTGGACGTTTAATGACGTTTTTTTTTCATATTAATTAATAGTATAAGGTCGTGCACCACAAATAAAGTAGACTAGCGATAGTTTCTATATGTAGCTCAACTTCAAACTTTAGTCATTGAAATAAAAAAGTGACATAAGCCAATATTCGGCTCCTGATAAAAGATTCTACAATTTTTTTTAAATATTTCGACGTCGTATGTTAATGTACTCGGGTAATCCGAGAATATGAAGTTTGAGTAGAAGCTACAATAGCGGCTTTTCTCATTGCTGAACAGTCTCATTGTATGATTTGGAGTTCGATTTCCTCTACATTTAGTATCCATTTAATCGTATTATGTACGATATCTAATACAACAGTACATAAGTCATGATCATCTGTCCAAGATCAAGCTTTTATAATCATTCTCATATCGTGTGATGGTTACAATAGTCTAGTTTTTGTCATTGCAACTGCTCCATCATTTAGTCTTTCTCAAAATTGATAGCCATTAAATGTCATGCTTCTCCTCAATTCTTACCATCCCGTTCGAACTTAAGATTAGTCTCAGAACAATTGATAAGCATTTAGTCACGACAATAAAGTAAAAGAAAAACACATTCGAATTTATGTTTTTGAAATATCGACTTCTCGATGCCCAATAAACTGATTTTTTAGATTTTTTGTTAAGATTTCAACCAGCTTCAAGTCGTTTCTCGCTTATTATCTCTACCAGTTGATTTTTCAATATCTAACTCTCGTGAATACATACAATAGAGTTTTGTACATGAGCACGTTACAATTATTATTATTTGAATAACAAAGAACACAATAAGAAAACAGTTATTCATCGTGAGATAAATAGATAAATAAGATTTTCTTTTGATTCGTGCAAAGAAAGATGACACAATAAGACAATGGGTGTCGAAGGATGAAAAAAAAGAGCACATTTAAAGAAGAGAGAAGATAATGGAAGTGTTGGTTTTTTTTTGTTTTCTGGATGGTGTTGGACCAGGAGTGACTACAGCAGATAGATTTACATGAATTTCTTTATATTTTAGATACTAAAAAAATAAAATATTGTGTATAGTTGCAGATGGCTAATGGTTCACCAGTGATTACAGACTTTCGCATTGGTACTGTCAATGTTCATTCATTTAGACATCCTGAGACATCCAAGAGTAATGCAAAAGAACTGGCATCGATTCTTGGTCCACTCAACCTTGACGTTCTCGCTGTGGAAGAAGCTATGAACGATTACGATTGGAAACTTCTGTGTAATGATCTATCGTTAACTCATTCTGTATTTGGAGCGAGTCATGGAGTATCGTACGGCAATGCCATCGCATCCCGTCATCCAATCGTTGAGCATTTTAATCAAAAATCAAAAATAGATGCTGATGGTGGCTGTCGAGCAATGCTTCGATGTCGTTTCGGTGGTTATCATCCATTTGTTCAAAATCGAAGATTTGCAGTTACACATCTAGATCATTTAAATGAGGATGATCGATTGACACAAATCAAAGAATTTTCTCCGCATAATCACGATATAAATGTACTCATCGGTGATATGAATGCATTGACACAAAACGACTATTCAGATAAATATTTCGGTGAAATCGTGGCTGGAAAACGTGAAAAAGCGGGATGGGAAATACCCCGATTCGAACTCACTCAACTATTAACCAATACTTGGAGTTTTCAGGATGCCTTTCGAGATGTAAATCCGAAATTAAAAGATGAACAAGTAGCAACATGTCCATATGGAACTCGTATCGATTATATCTTTCTTCATCCATTATCTAAAGATGAATGGTTATTAAAAGAATGCTTCATTGTAGATACTTATCAAGCAACAGATCACCATGCTGTTGTAGCTACTTTCGAATATAAATCGAAATCCGAAAATAATATTGAAAATGACACATAATTCTGAAGCTCATTTTTCTAGATAATTTATAAGCGCCGTTTTTTTACCGATGGTATTTTGAGGATGTGGATGCGGGGTGAAAGTGGGAATTCCAAATAAACTCAATAAAATTTGGACAGTTTTCAAAGCACTACTAAGATGTGTTTGGATCATTACTTTGGTAATATGAGTGAGATAAATTTAACAATTTGATAGTTCGTTTGTGCTCTTTGAGATATAATCAAGTGTGGTCACGAATTTTACGTAATAATTTAAATATTCGTATTAGTTTGTTCTTTTGACAAGTCTTTTTAATTGTGTCGAAGAGAGATGAGATGTTTCATCCCAAGTGAACTATTGTTAATTGTGTTTTCTACAGTGGATTGCAATAGTTATCAATTATTATCATTGATTGGTGAACATTGAGAAAAAAAATGAACAAACGAAATGAGGACACCAATGTGTTTCGTCTAACTTCGTACTGATTCTGGTGGCAAGTGAATTTGTATAATAACGCAATGTGTTTTGTGGGAATGTTTGAAAGTGGCGTTCAATAGTCAGATGCACACTTGTTGTACTAATCTATACAACTTTAATGAGTTTGCTTGATTGATTTTCTCGTTTGAAAATGAGTTATCTTGTTTTGAAATGTACGAGAACAAAATTTCAAGATTTACTGAGCTCGAATCGGGATCGTGACTAAATATCACAATTAAATTTTCTGCTATTTTGAGCGCATCATTTTATAAAAAAAACGCCTATCGAAACAAATTCAAAAGAGAAGACCAAAAACAAAAGGGACATTATTAAAATTAGTTCCTCTAGTATAAAACCAAGGTTGGAATCAGGTCTTGAAAACAATAGAATCATTGGGATCGAAACTGGAGATGCCCAAATCTTTGCCGAATTGATACGATCAAGTGGCAGATTGATTCATTTGACTCTGTCGAATACAATGCTCAAAGATGAAGGTTTTCATATGATTGTCAGTTCGATCTGTGCCAATCTCATCATACAAATATTAGAATTATCATTCAATCATCTCCACGACAATAGTGATTGGTATATTAGTTATTTGTTGAAAGTCTATACGAGTTTACGAAGCCTCGATATTAGTTACAACGAGATCAGTACTATTAGAGCAAGACGAATATTCGATAAACTAAAATTCACTCGAACATTTTTGTATTTCAATATCAATTTGACCATCTTAGCGACGAGAAGCGAAACGCGCACGATGACATCTAAAATTCCACCTGTTAACCCTTTGAGGACTGACTTTTTTTACCGAAAAAAATATCTTAAATTTCACATACAAAATCAAATATAGTTGAAAACTATTTACATAATTTTCTCATCCAGATCTAGTTTAAAAGACGCACAATCTCCCTCGCACAAAAAAACCTGCCTTTTTCCATTTCATTTTTTCACCACCTAATACACTGTATTAAAAAGACAAAATATACCACAAGATGCAGCATGAAAAGTTCTACAATTTACAAAGAACAGCTTATGTTATAGTTGCAGTTTTCGTTTTTTAAATGAGTAAAATTCTGTACTACTAATTCTTAACGCTTCGAACAAGATCATTTTTTGGTATACGATGAATTTCTTTTCATATTGCTTCGGTTAATGAGTCATGTTGAAGGTCATAATCGATAGCCGAGTTTAAACGATTCGATGTGTGTCTCCATTAAAACAATATGCAATTGGATAAAGTTAAAAATAATGATTTATTAAGTGATGAAATAAGAAAAGGAATTTATTGTCTACCAAAAAAATGATCTTTTTCGCACCATCAAAAATTAATCACACAGAGTTTTGTCCATTTTAAAATAAAAAAAAATGCAGCGATAAAATAAGCTGTTCTTTGTAAATTGTAGAGCTTTTCACGCTGCATCTTGTGGTATATTTTGTTTTTTTCAATATAGTGAATTAGATGGTGAAAAAATGAAATGGAAAAAGACAGGTTTTTTGTCCGAGGGAGTGTTGCATGTCAACCTTGTTGAAGATACTGTTCGGTTTGAACTAATAATTCACTAGCTAAGCAAACGATTAATTTATTTTTTCTAGATATAATATGTTGAAACCTATCTAAAATAATTACACTTGTTGTACTATCATCAACTTCTTCATCTTATGTTCGATTTGTTTCGACTACTGATTTACCAGCAGAATGTTGAATTTGAATCTCAATAACTTATATAAAACGATTTGAAAGATTCAATTAGTGTAATATAATTCATATAAAATAGCATTACCACCCATAGGATCAAGTAACATCGATTAAAGAAGATTTACTCAGGATAAAAAAAATAAACTTTGAGTATTACTCATGGCCCAAGACAGATGCATATTACATCAGTAATTGTTTTGCAAAAAGGAAGGTATGGGAGTGGATCTTCTCTTCATCCACAACCTCCACATTTCTGCCACGCAAATTATTTATTTTACATATTGAATGAATATCGACAAAGAGATTCATCATCTTCACTTTTTTATGTAAGACAAATTAATTGAAATCGTAATAAAAATTTATATATCGTTCTTTGATTTACATATTTCACTGTTCGAACATATGAAAGTAGATGTCAACCGTTGTTCAATAATTTTCCTATTGAGGTTATTGTGTCTGTTTTAATCGCTCCTGCGCTTTGTTTTTCTTCGATAATACATTATTTCATTGTATACATGATGTCATCTCTCTTGAAATTCAGAGTTTATCAGGACTGGAAAACATATAAACTGAACAACAGATATTATGCGAGTGGAATTCCATTAGCTTTTTGTGTAATAAACATTTCTTTTCTATTTCTTAGTATGTCTTCTTTCATTGTCGTGTGGATGAACACAATGGACGACCGTGTACTCGTGATAAATTGACGAAAAGAAAGCAACATTCGATGACTATATTCTAATTGGACGATGTATTGACGTTACATTTTTTCAATGAGGTTATCTATTCTATTCCCCAATGACAAAAGCAGTTATAAAAAAAAACAAAGGATGTATATATAAATATTTCCTTTTGAGAGAAGCATTGCAGTCCGAAGTAAAACATGAATCGATCTGATGTTCATCTATTGAATCTACCTGATGAGATATTACTTATCATTCTGAAAAAATTGAACAATATTGATGTTCTTTACTCATTATTGAACATTGATAATGAACGACTTAACATTCTAGCACAAGAAAAAATCTTCAGTAATACTCTCGATTTTCTGTCGATTGAGAATACTTCTTCAACTGATCAGCGCAAACTTGATCGATTTTGCACCGATATATTGCCAAAAATTCATCACAATGTGAAATGTTTCATTCTTGAACCAGTTTCAATGGAACGTATTCTTCTTGCCGTCGACTATCGAAATCTAACCGAACTCAAACTTTTTAATTTCAAACAAGAAGTCGCTTTATCCTATTTTACAAGTAAGCAGAATAGCAGAAGAATGATGTTAAACAGAACAGACAAAACAATGTTTTATTATTTTTTATTTAGACGAATCATCTCTTCGACATATCTTCCAACAACAAATTACAGATCTTATTCTTATAAATAATGACAAAGAGAAAATGATAGGATCATTAAGCAATTATACTATCAATGTCTATGGACATATCTTGAAGTTCTTTAAAAATTTAACACATTTGAATATTACTGAAGGATTCAATTCATCATATCCAGGATTGATACTTCGTGATTTACCATCGACTACTTTCTTCTCTTCAATTCTTACTCATTTATGTATCAATACGTACAATTTAGATGATTGTCTTTATTTACTTGATGGTCGACTCAAACAATTAACTACATTAATTGTTCGAATACATTACATGCACTTTTCATCAACTGTTCACAACATGGTAAGTTTTAACAAACTATGTCGGCTATGAGAAGAAGCTGACTTTCAATTTATTTAAAAAGAAAAAAATCGAATTGAAGTTTGTTCTGAAATTATAAAACGAAATCTACTGAATTGCCGTAGTCATCATTAACAAACAATGTTTCCTTCGAAAAAAAAACAAGAATTTTAAATAAGTAGTCTGAACTAAGTATATGCGTGATTCATTTTTTTAGCACGATTAAGATATATATATATTGATAAATCTTTCTATTTATTATTTAGGATAATTTACCTAATTTGAAATGTTTATCATTAAAATGTTATGCTCAAACTCGTCAATATGATGAGGCAATTTTACCTCTTCTTCGTCGTATGTCATATTTGGAAAACTTAACTTTATATCTTCGTATAAAAAATAGAGGTACATTCATCGATAGAACTCATCTTGAAAATGAAATTCATGTTTATATGCCACAACTTCATTCATTTACTTTTTATATTTGTACTTATGACAATACTGCTGATTTATTTCGTTATGTGCCCAGTCAAGATATCCAACGAAATGTCACATATGATGGACACCAGCGTATGGCTAGTATTATAAATTATATCAATAGCTGTTTATGTTGTACAGCTGTATGTACTATTTTCTCACTTCCTTTTGCATTTGATCGTCTTGAACATATTGGCAACATATTTCCAGATATTGTATTCAAGTATGTTACGTATTTACTGGTACAAGATATAGTTCCATTCAACCATGAATTCTTCGTTCGGGTTGCCCGAGCTTTTCCATTACTGAATAATCTTTGCGTTATAAATATTGAATCACAGTCAGCATCTAATCTTGACAGATTCCTATCTGACCATACCCAACCATATTCAATTGCTGAATATCCTTATCTTACTTCACTTGACGTGGAAACTGCATGTATGGATTATATTGAACAATTTTTAAATGAAACAAAAACATATGTACCATGTCTAACTGAATTAAAAGCTTATTATCAACTCTTGAGTATTATCACAGAAAACTTTACAAGAGAAGAAACACGACGGAATTGTGCGAAGGTGAAGCGACTAAATATTATCGGAACATTGGTACATTCGAAAGATTTCTATCTTTACTTTCCTCTGTTATAAATGAAATTCTATTTTGATTTATTCAATAAATAAAAAAGAAATAATTTGTTAAGCATTTAGTTTAAAAAAACAATAAATGTTGAACGCACTTGAATCTTTTCGAAAAATGAATTTGTTTTGTTCGAGAAATCTTCAACGAAAATAAACATATATTTCAGATATTCTTAATTTCAACTTTTCGAATTAAATGAATCAGAATCGATTGATATCACTTTATCTGTTCGAAAAACAGCACATTCAGCAATAAATCGCTTACAAAATCGTTTACCTACAAGAGTCTTATACAATCGACTATGAACAAGTAAATTTAACAATTTTTTTTTATTTAGAAAATTCGGTAGGTATATTTCATCTATAGAAAAATCGAATGAAAATCTTTCCAATATTCGATTAATAAATGAACTGTTGAAAAGTTCGAGTAGTGCTACATTCATAGATAATATGCGATTAAAAATGGGTAAAAATATCCAGAATGATCATTGCGCCTTTTTCAGACCTATTCGCATCGGCTTTGTTTTTATCCTCAGCTTATTGCTTTGAATGATATTTCTTTGTATCTGAAAAAAAATTATTTCAAATAATATCGAATATTTCAGCTAATTTTGATACATTACCACGAAGTGAAACAGCAAGTTATACATCAATGAATTCAACACAATCATCGGTAACAAAAAATGGAGGAGGTGGTAGTGGATCAACGAATTTTGATATTGATTTTAATGAATCAAATTTACAAGTTCATAAACGTTCACCATTTTATATTATTCAAGATTCGAGCTCAACACATCGCGTAAGAATTTTTTTTTGCTTAAATGTTTGGATTTTAAAATTATATTTCAGACTGGTCGTCTTGAAGAGTTTCAAAATTATTGTTTTCTTCCACTTGAACTTCATGATGTTAGTCAAATAAAAGCAAGTTTAAATTGACAATTAAGTCAATCTTTATCAGGAAAACGTTGAATTATTTTATCAGATGAACGACCACCTCGTTCGCTCATCATGATCATAACCAACCACAAGAAAATAATTTGCTAAACGTTGCATGTTATTAATTGACACGATAATATCTGAAAATCAATTCTCACATCGGATATATGCGTCACAACGTGGAAATAAACGGTTGTTATTATGGTGCTTCCTTTTTGAAGGACGTTGAAAAGAACACATGGAAAGATGAATCACTGCAATTTATTCTCTACATTAAAATTTGATTATGTCAATAGATACATTCTAACTTATTTGTTATTGTTTATAGTTGAAAATCCGGATAATAAGATCAATGATGACATATTTCTACCTACGATGAAGATGATCTATTCCTTATTAAGTTTTTTCGTCACAGGCAATAACGTTTTTTCATTTGTTGTTCGGCTGCGAAGAATGTTCTCGATGTTATAAGAATTATTTAACATGATGTGATTTATTTAGAAAAGAATTTTCATCTTTCAGCTTATTTACAACAGTCGTCTGGGAATTCTTTATTTAATTTCTTGCTATGTCAAAAAGAAATTAAGCTACAATATTTGCTTTTTTTGTTATATGTGTAACGCAATTCAAAGAGAGACGTAATTGAATTTTGGAAGCATGATTTTGTTAGCAACGCAAAGAAGCAATTTTGTTTTTGATAGAAGTGAATGAATGTCAATCGAACAGTTTAAAATAACAAAAAAAAAGAAAAATTGCTTATGTTATAAATTCTTTTTTTATTTGTCTCAAATGTTTTGACCGTTCTGCAATAAAATATGAATATTATATTATTCATATTTAGTTCCTGGAAGATCTATAAATATCCTCTTATCAATCATGACAATTAAAAATCAAGAATTTTATTTGATGACAAAAAAAACTTCATTTAGATTTTCCAACTGCTGAAAGTTTATTTAGTTTTAAGTGGAATATAATTTCCATTATGTAGAAAACATTGTTTAAAAACATTAATCTGCGATTGATTTGTATAACAAATGTCATTGGGTCGATGACCTAAATTGCGAAGCATCTCATAAACAATTTCTCCCGCCCAGAATAATGCATTTGAATTGTTTTTAATTGATTCATTAAGTTTATCTTGATTTAATTCAACTTCGAATTCACCATCAATCATAAATGTTGATCCATGAGAAATACAAAAAACACACGGAAGAGAATCATTATTTTCTTTTTGATTTTTTTCATCAATTGGATGAATATTGATGATGGGAATTTCACCATTTTCACTTTGGACTTTGAGACACATTAATTGGTACTGTAACAATAAATATTGATTGAAATAAATTGAATTTTCTATTAAATTTGACTGTGATAATACTTCTTGTGTTAAGAAACAACTAGATTTACCACAAATTTGATACATATTTTGCAAAATTTCTGGTTTGAATAATCTATCAGCAACAATTTGTAAAGCATTTTCAATGATTGATACTTGGTCTGATGTAAAACCATTGTGAATTTCATAAAAAATTTCAAAATGTTTTTGAACATTTTCAGACGTAATTTGTTTTGCCAAACCACAATGAATATGTTCTTCTTTTTCTGATCTAACACGAAGATCATTTGTATCTTGATGTTGTTCTGATGATGATATATTACTATCATAGGATGTTCTTCGAGAATTATCAGAAGAAGATAATGAAACAACAAATTCGTCGTGTTCACTTGTACCTAACAGTTGATAACCATGATCTAAGTACTGTATTACAATGTTAAAATGTCAATATGTATACAAAGATTTACTCTAGATTTAAATTGACTTAAAAAATTGTTTGGCAATACATGTTGTGACATTTGATTTGCTGTCGAAAAAATCAGAGTTTTTTTTTTTTGATAATGTATAAGAATCAAGTGAGTGTGTTAGTTTTGGCAATATTTAAGCCTGTTTATATAGAGCAAATTGTTGTTTACAATAAAAAATAATTTTTTTTCCTATTCTGTGTGATGTTATATTAATCATACTGCTAAAACTCTTTTAAAGTGTTGCCTACTGATTGCATGGTCATGATTCTTTTTTTAACTATTTATTTATAGACAGAATGATGTTGTATTGATTCATAACAGTCTTTAGATTTTTTCAACTTGAAGAACAGGTCAAGAATATTTCGGAATGTGGATGTAGTTGAGGCTAAATAGAGGATCGACATTCACACTAAGTCATAAACACACTCATCCAAACTGTTAAAACTATTTAATATGCCTCAAAAGCCGGGTTTAAAAGGTGACAGACATGTAGTTTTTATCCATTTAAACTGGGAAAACGTGTTCAAATATGTTAGGCATTAGTAAATGGCTAATATTGAGGTCTCATTTCAATAAAACTATATTCTCTATTCCACAACGCTCTATTTTAAATTATAAATCACTTTATAGTCTTTAGTCAGTATTTCAAGGACATGCTGACATTGCTTCTATAATTCTGACCTTCCTCGTGATTAATCGGTCACAAATCATTCTTTTGGTCCGAATAACGATTTTTTAAGGGTCTTTCTATTAACAGGAGATCTCTAGAATTCGAAATTTTTTTAATCAGAACGAGAACTTAGTGAAGTAACTTCATGATCAAACTTTGAGTCCTTTAACTTCATCTGTTCTTGAGATATTTATGTGCACAAAATACCGAACAATGGTAATTTTTCTATATGCTTAACAGTATTAATTAATTTTTCAACAGTTTATTCGTTTCAAACTCATATTTTTATGAGAAGTACTGAAACCTGAAATGCATTCATAGTAAAAATTTCAAGATCAACAAATGTATCCTTGATGAGATATGACTATCACCGAAACCGCAAAAAGAATGCGAAAGACATGTTTTTTTTTATGATGGATAGGGCTCTCAAAAAATTCAAATATTTCGAAAGTGAAGCAATATATTTTGAACGGCTTTGGTAGAAACTCATTAAACACTATCCTCTATAGACATATATTAAAAATTAGTCAAATTAGCGAACATCGACTGAGCAGTTTTTCTATAAGTGGATCGTAATTCCACCAAAATTGGCTCATACACATATAGACTAGAAAAGATTTTTGTTCGCGTCCAATACAAAAAACTAATGTTCGCCAAGAAAAATCAAACTTGATTATTTTGAGGAACTAATTAAAGATTCATGGTTTTTTCATTGGAGAAAGACTATTTAATACAGTGCGAAGCACATCATTTATATAGTCGAATACTTTGCGTGTTTTTTTGCTGTAACAAAATTCGTACTATGTGTTGCGATGTTTTAGAGAACAGCGAGTCGCTAGAAATATTGTTCAAACTATGTTAAAGAGATCTTTGTCTCGAGATGATACAAAGCTTTTTGAATTTCAATAATTTCCACAAAACGGTGATTTCGATGGTTTGGCCTCCATTTTGTACCTGAAATAATTAAATATGTGGTAAGCTAGTCTTCAATCAACTATTATGTACAAGAGAAATAATGAAAACTTTCGACAGGACAGGATCGACTCTAGGGAAAATCGCTTTTCGTTCTTATGTTAATTAAAACTTCATTGTCGAAAATTGAGATCGCTTCGCATCACATTTATGTAATCTTTTGTGAATTTTCTTCTTTTACTTACCAGACATACGTATCGAAAATGTTTATTCTCCGTTGTGATGATTTCGAGAATGGAGAGTCAGAAAATACACAGATAGACGATCTTATACTGACTTATTTAAGCATCGAAGAAGGTCATGAATTCGTAGGGAATCTTTTTTTTGTGCTAAACTGTTACATTTGAAATCAAAGCGGATTATATCTCTTGAGTTCTCTATGTCTATTACACTATAAATAGCAGAAGTAAAAAAGCTTATTACAATCTCAGCAACAGAGTGGATATGTATCTCACTAAACAAAAATATATCAAACCAAACTTAACATAGCGGGTTGTTCTAAATTTCATCCCCTTTCTACATTACGATAAGCTTTTTTACACTTGATATTCATAGTGTAAGAAAGCTTTATATAATTTAGGTGATATTATTTGTTTTGATTTCAAATATAAGAGTTTTCTATGGAAAAAGATTTCCTACAAATTCATACTGTTAAAACAACTTTTAACTTCTTCAATGGGTGAATAAGACAATATAAGAACATTTATCGATGATTAGTGTATAGATAGGAGATCAGTAAAACAATTTTTCAACATGAAATTTCTCTTAAAATAGAATATCTGACAAAATTTGTACAACTTTTGCTAATGATGTATCAAAACAATAAAATTGAGTAAATATTATGAAAATTACGTCGAGTGCAAGTTGTTCTATTAAATCATGTATTATAATGAAAATTTTAACATAGAATATGGAAAATGGCATGCTGTGATTGTATCATCAATAAAACCTAAAAGGATCAATGAATTCATCTGACATGTTTCACTACGTAGTATACTAGAGACTATATAGACTGTAATCGGACGAAAATGAGATGATTCTAACCTAGTCAGTTTTTGAGATATATAAAAAAAAAATATAAAATTTTATCATTCTTCGCTTGGCACAATAATATAAGAATATCGATCAAAGTTGTTCACTTCTGATTTAGATAGTTAAAGGAAAACTTTCGCTTCTACAATAAATCTTATACTGCACTATATATTCAATCGAAAGTTATTCAAGATAAAGTATATTTTGTTTTCGGTGTCCGTCTCTTAGAATAGTTCTAAGATGATTTTGAATAGTTTTGTGTAGGTCAGAAAAAACGTTGAAGACAAACTAGCCGTCATCTTCTCAAGTTTACGAGGTTATTATTAATAAGGCAATAGATTTGTTCGAACTTTTCTGATGTTACTTGATGGTAGATACGACTGATCGTATCCCGTCTTAAACATCTTCGCAATTTTCAACTGTTCTGAGAGACAGATATTGATTACCGAAAATGAAAAACAATGCACGATGGACTTAAACGCACAAATGAAAGTTTTTCTTACATAAAAAATCAGAAATGACCAACACACCTATACCCTCAAGTTCTTATTTTCATTTATGTCGATGCTCACCTCTTTGTCTAACATCAATACAAAAACTATATGATCTTCATTATTAAGAATCTCATTCAGAGTCATCATCACATCATCACGATACTCCACCAAAATTGATTTTACGTACACCCTGATCATCATGGATTATCACATCCATTTTCATCACAAAGTGCTGCTCAAAATAATTCAAGTCCGCAACATCGAACACATGAAGGTTATTTACGGAATCGAGGTTATCTATTAAAACAATAGGGAGAATGATAGTTTGTTGTTGTTTCTGTTCGACATGAAGTAACCATGTCATTCTTTTCTATTCTTTATTTATGTCTTCTTTTCTAACTTTGATATACAAAGTGTTTCGTACGTAGGGCTAGTGTTTTTCTTGCAGCTATCTTTTTTCTCTTACCCTTGTCCCGTCCGTCGTATAAATAAATACTTTCGTTTGTTAAAATCATTTGAATATAAGCATTTGTTAAAATGTCGTCCTCCGCCTCGAATGCGACTAAAATGAAGTATAGGCAAGGTCATGAACAGCCAACAAACTGGACTTAGTGATAATGCGTCAAAAGATTTGGATAATCATAATCTAGGATGACTTGTACTTGATTGTGTTGAATTAAAAGATTCTGGACATGGTCATACATCGAAGAAATTTCAAAGTCATCCAGAAGAAGATATTGTACATGATATCTTACCAACGACTAGTACAGATGTTTATGATTAAATACAAGTAATAGAGTTATAAAATATATGATAAAGGTCTTTATTTATTTTTATTTATATATCGGAGTAGCTTAGTACTATTTTAAATATCGACGACAAGGTGAAATACGATTATAAAAAACAAGGAAATCTTTATTTGATTATAGGTTGTAAAAAAACGCCAACATCAAATCAAGATATGGGTTAATATTACAAAAAAAAGAACGTGAATTATTAGCGTTCGTTAAAAGCAAACAAATTGATGCGGAAGAAAAGAAAAAAAAGAAACAAGAAATTTATCATTTAGTCGCAGTGAATAGGGAGACTGATATTTCCATCAAAACATATGAAGAAGATAAAAGTAAAATATCTTGCATACTTTATTTTGGTTTATTAATATTTTTTTAGAACTTAATGAAGAAAAAATATTAAAAAACCCTCAAGAAAAGAAAAATAAACATGAATATCAATGAAGACATAGTAGAATAGTGATAAATTGATCGTCGACGAAAGCGATGAAAAAACAATCATCTCATTAATTATGTTTTGTGTTCGTCTTCGATGATCAATCTTCTAATTGATGCACAAGAGAAAACATTGCAGTATCAATGATTGTTTATTTATCAATGATCATCATTGACTGACAGTTTAAGTTTAAAACATACGTATATCGGCTTGCCCACGTAACGCTAGCAGCAAAGTATAACAGAGTTACGCTTTTTGCTCATTTTATTTTGACCATAACCCTGAAAGGGCAAGTTGTAGAGGCGAGCGACGTCTTAAATTGAAGAAAAATTTGTTTTGAAGATTTTGAAATCTGTTCGAGCTCATAAAAATGTGTTTCCGAAAATCGATAACCAAAATACTGACAACCCCCTTTTTCGATGGATTTTGCAAAAGTAGGTTTTAACATTTCAGTGATAGGTTTTTGAATAAACACGTTTATGAGCTCTGGCAGATCTCAAAATCTTCAAAACAAATTTCTCTTCAATTTAAGACGTCGCTCGCTTCTCTGCGACTAGTCCCTTCACAGTTATGATCAAAAAACAAAATGAGCAAAAACGTAACGCTATTACGGAGTTACGTGGACAAGCCGATATAAGGAATGATTTTCCTTATATGAAATCATTTATAATGTTCTGAAGTTGAATTATCGACTTCAATATTATCATTTCGCTCGAACTGATCATTATGATCAATATTACACAATGGATTACAATGATATTGACATGAAATAAATTTTATTATGTTTTAATGCACTAAATTATAATGAATGATATAATTCACATCACAAATACAAAAAGCAAACCAGGTATGTTGCTTGAAATTATCTTTTTCTACTCAGAGAAAATAAAGTATTAGAATAGTGTAAACTAAGTTAATTTCTATTTCAAACTAAGGGGGGATATAAAATTTAGAAGTCCTAGTGGTCAATAGGACTTCTAGAAATAATTTTTTATCGATAAGGTAGACATGTCATCTATTCTGAATGGAGTTGGTTTTTTTTGTTTAAATACATTAAATCCATGTATTTTTAATCGTAATACACAGAAGTAAAACAAAAAATTTATCTGCTAAATTATTTTTCTTTGGTAATAGTATGTTATTGTGAAGTAGCAGATTATATGACAGCCTGTTAGATGGCTTCATAATCTAACCCAGGGAGATTCCTTGTGTCTGTTATGGCGAAAGCAGTGTAGTATTCTGGAAGGCCATTATGTTCGTAGGTCCTTGTCGTCGTTATTCTTCGTCATACCTACATACATTGCCCTACCACTTCTGCGTTGTTCGCCCTATGAGTATCCATATCAGCCTTACAGGGGATCTCCCTGGTCGCACGCGTACACGACAATGAGTTGAGAAAAGTCGGAAAGTGATGTGAATAGGAATTAAAATCAATTTATTGAGCAAGCAAGAAAAAAACAATTACAATTTCTTCTGAATTTCTTCGAGTGTCTCTCTGTAGTATAAAAGATGAGGATGATTTGAAGGCAATTTTTCTTGAGCAATTTCTACTGCTTGTCGAATATTTTCCTTTGCTATACTGTATTTTAGAGTACCCAAATATAATTTTGCCATATTATGATAAATTACGGCTAAATCAGGATGGTTTTTTGGTAGCTTCTTTTCACGTATTTCTAGTCCTTTCCCGAAATATGTCAATGCTGTTGAATAATCTTTCATTTCTCGATATGTTTCACCTAAATTCGTATATGTCGTTGCACAATTCAGAGAATTACATTGAACATTTTCTTGAATATTTAATGCTTTTTGATGAAATGAAAGTGCTCTTTCATAATTACCCATTAATCGATGAACATCACCAATGTTACTGTATGTTATACCAAAATTTGGATGTCTTTGAGGTAGCGTTTTTTGAAGTATCGCGAGACACTTTTCAAAATAATCTAAGGCCTTTGAGTAATCTTTCGTATTACGATAAACTCTTCCAAACCAACTATATGTTGAAGCAAAAGCTGGATTACTTTCTTGAAATGCTTTTTTCTGAATTTGAAAAGCACTTAGAAGGGACTTACAAGCTGCTGCGTAATCACCCATTCTTTCGTACTATGCTGCAAAATTCAAGTGACTATTAGCCAATGAGGGATGATTCGGAGACAGAGTTTTTTCATAGATTTGATGTGCTTTTTCGTAAAATTCAAGTGCTTTTGAGTAGTCACCCATATCATTATACGTCTGACCGATGTTGCTGTAGGAAATAGCCAAATTGGGATGGTTTGGAGCCAGAGCTTTTTCTCTTATTTTCAGTGCTTTTTCGTAAAATTCAAGTGCTTTTGAGTAGTCACCCATATCATTATACGTTTGACCGATGTTGCTGTAGGAAATAGCCAAATTGGGATGATTTGGAGCCAGAGCTTTTTCTCTTATTTTCAGTGCTTTTTCGTAAAATTCAAGTGCTTTTGAGTAGTCACCCATATCATTATACGTCTGACCGATGTTGCTGTAGGAAATAGCCAAATTGGGATGATTCGAAGGCAGAGCTTTTTCGTAGATTTTATGTGCTTTTTCGTAAAATTCAAGTGCTCTCGAGTAGTCACTCATGTCATTATACACTTGACCGATGTTGCTGTAGGAAGTAGCCAAATCGGGATGATTCGGAGGCAGAGCTTTTTTTGTGATTTCGAGATCTTTTTCGTAAAATTCAAGTGCTTTCGAGTAGTCACCCATGTCATTATACGTAACAGCAATATTGTTGTAGATATTAGCCAATTTTGGATCATCTTTCGAAAGAGTTTTTTCAACGATTTCGAGAGACTTTTTGTAAAATGAAACTGCTTCTGTATATTGTCCTTGGTTGTTTTTCAACCGTCCGAACTCGTTATAGATATGTGCTTTATCACTGTCGTTTGATGCCTGTTCTAGTAGTGCCATGTACAGTTCTTCGGCCTTGTCGAACTGCCCAATTGTGAGAAGCAATGTACCAATACGGTGCCATCCACTGCTACCTGATGATTCTTCCCGTATATGATCGGTTAATTGACGAAGTTGTTGGTCATCATCCGACGTAAGTTTAAGATCCACTTCATAAAGTGAACGTTTCTTATCAATTTGTCGAACTTCACCAATTCGAAAGACGGTGTGCATCGAGAACAGAATTTCCTCTTCTCGCCCGAAATCACTAACCTCCTCGATGGAGGCAAAAGGAGTCGAAGAGACCATGGGATCGATGGTCATTTGAAAGAGAATACCAACCATTTCAGTTGTTCCTAGTGCTTGTGTAGCGAAGCTGAGCGAGATATCACGATTTTTGCTGGTGGATAAAAAATTATTAAACGATATGAGACCACCTTCATTTTTCGCAAGTTTTTCGAAGTCGCTTGTCAATAATCCTTGGCCCCTATAAACTAGAAAGGACTTCCCATGATACTGACTGACCTGTTTTCTGTGTAAATCTTCAATTTGTCGATGAACATCACACAGGAAAAATCCCATTCGGATGATCATGTCTCCATCCAATGTTCGTAATGCCCGATTGAGCATGTTGAAGGCGAAACATTGACGTGTATACCACCGTAACGCCAATGTTGGATGATAAGTATGTTGAAATTCATTAATTAACTTGAGTTCTTTGGTATTGCTTTTGTATTGTTCTTGGCAATATGTGACCAAATCTTGAATGGCTTTTTGGCTATGTTCCATATTAAGGAGAATTTCCTTAAATATTTGGGTATACATGAAGGAAGGTTCTAGCTGATTGAGATTTTCGCTAGAACCTCCTTTATTCGCACTGATAATACTGACTGTTAATTGATCTTGATTACATTGTTTGACAGCTACTGCCAGTTTTTCACAGATGTGTTTGATTGATGTATGGACGCCCTTGATTTTTGTCCAGTTTCTGGCCCATACTTCGTGGCGTTGTTTGTTGCCACAAAAGATGTATATAGCATCCAGTTTTGGTATCCCATGAATTTTTGGTACCAATTGTTGTCCCAATGCACCCGAGGAGATGACAAATGAAGTCTCCTCGTTGTTTTCCTGGAGCTTCTCAATACACTGCTCGACCGTGGTGCATGGGTTGACTTCATTAACAACACCACGCAATTGTGTGAGTGTATTCTGGCAATCTTCGTTCGCCATGTCGATACTACCATCGACCCAGATGATCAGGTAATTTTCAGCCATTCGTGGTCTTTGTTGTCTACTCATCTTTGATGTAATTTGTGACGTTTGCTCGATGATTGAGTATTGTGAATGGTAAGCTGTCGTTTGGATAGGGACCACTGTTCTCTATTTATTCATTCGATGTTGGATGTTTTTTTTCTCGATTCTTCTACGACGTCAAATATGGGTACGGTTTTTTTTTCGTTGACACTCAAGGATAAACTTCACCTATTTGCAATTGAATATACGGTTGTCAACAACAAATGAAAGAGAAAGAAAATCTAACAACATAACTTATTTTTATGGTTATTCTTCCCAACTGTCGTTTGCTTTTCATCTATATAAGAATCCCTTGAAAACCAATGCATTGGATACCATGTTGCATGGATGGTTTATTTTTTTACCGATTTTTTTCAAAGAAAAAGGACTTTTCTCATTCTGCCAAGAACGAAAAAAAACAAGAAAAACATCGCCTGTTTTATTTTTTTTTATAATACATATGATTGACATGCTGATAATGTGAATGAAACCACAAGAAAAGTAAATTCAATATTGATTGAAGCAATAGTCTAACAACCATTTTTATCCTTGTCACATATACTGAAACATTATTAACCAATGATTTGAATAAAAAGAAAACTGTTCGCATTGTACTTAACTCTCAACGATATGTGTTGTGCTCTGTGATTCTTGAAGTAATTACGAGTTATCTAACTGAATTTAGAATATGATTGAATATTGAACTGGCATCCCACTCCGCCTCTTTTTCTCCTTTTCCTCTTTTCTTTTAAAATTCCTCTTTTTACTCTTTTTTCAGAAACATCCTCTTTTTCCTCTATTTCTCACGAAAAAGTAGCTTGTTGACGACAACGTCCATGACTATATTGATTAATATTACCATATCGTACGAAAAGATCACATAACACAAACTGATGTGCCGATCAGTCGAGGTATATAGCTAGGGAAGCTAAATTATATGATTTTAGTGATCAACTTCAGCGATATTATATATCCCTAATGGGGACCCAATTTTTATAGTTCTCTAGTGGAGGCAAAATCACTCAATTAAATTTCCAATGTGAACTCATCATTTTCTCACAATGTTGGCAAGTTTTTCTGGTAAAGATCAACATGTAAAATGATAATATCGGCTCACTTTTCTTGACTGTTTTTCTCAGCCCCAGGGAAGCTTGTGATGTGAATCTAACAATGGATAGCTAACGCGTAGCGTAACGCATGCGTCAAAATGAGAAGAAGTTTCCAGAATGGCTAGATCTATTCTAAAATCCTGTCAGATTCGATAGGATTTCTTCGACAAGATAGCTTCTGATAGTATGATGTCATAAGTTGAAGATTTCTGCTTATCAGATACCGATAAAAGTTTTCATGTTATATCCGGCAATATCTGATCCTTCAAAATTACTGGGTTCATTACAGATGCCGTGATATGTTGTTAGATTACCTTACGCTATTGATTTACTGTCAAAATGAAGTAATCCATCTCCCTCCGAGTTTCTTCGTATACGATCACATTTTGGACGATTGTATATCTATAAACTGTACACGGAGAAATATAATCGTATACAACGAAATACAGAGTAAAACGAAAGCCGTAGAAGAGCTTTGTTTGTCCATAAACGATCGTATTTCTGCGCATACAATCACAGATTTATACGATCGCAATACTGGGCAATGTAGAACGCCATATTTCTCCGATTACAAGCGTGTTTGCTTGCCATGGGTTAATATTGACAATGGTTTGATGATAATTGGAAGAAATCGGATATGATGGAATGTGACAGTAATAAACAGGAGCACTCCACTGATCAAAAAGCAGAGGATCCTACAATCTACTCAATACAAATAAGTCGTTTTCTACAGAACACAGGAAGATGACCATATTTTACTGGAAAAATCAAATGTTTTCGACAGTACGGGGCCGAACGATTCCTCACAAACCCGCTGTATCATGGAAGACTTGTTGAAAATTGAAAACAACGAAAAAATACCTTTCTCACATGCACAGTCATCCGAAAAAAGGAACAAAAAACAAAAAAACATTTTATGAATTCTGATCGTTTCTATTTCTGTATGCCTACTTAGTCAGATAGAGTAATATTATAGTCAAATGCTACGCAAATAGAATGAACTATTTTTCTAGTGTTTTCCCGTTTTCTAATGCATACATAAGCAATTGCACAAAAATCTGTGTGAACAACTGGAAGTTCCGTTTCTTTTTTTACTCTTTCAAATCATATTCAATCTATATTGATAACGTACGAGTTTTGTCGAATTTATAGTACTATTGTGCCAGTGAGTTTTAGTTTTCTTCAGACGAAACTGTATGCCTCTTTTTCTCCTCTTTTTTTTACAAAGTGTTGATGGGATGCCAGATATTGAAGTATGCATTATGAAATCCAAGAATGAATGAAACAGTTTAATAGGAACTTTTCTTACAGATATAGCCACCTAGCAAGAGTTTTATCTCATAATTGGGGTTATGAACTTTAGTCATGTAATGCCCTAAACAGTTCTTATTCAAATTCGAGTCAATATTCTGAATAAAATTAGTCATTGCTTGACAGCAGTAGTTGGATTCCGTGAGTTCTAAACTCCTGGAGTGCTCAACAGTACAGTTTCAGTCACGAAACTCTAGGAATCCACGTAATCCAAAGAATTTTCAGAAAGATATAGGTGTGTGTTTCGGTTCTTTCGACACCCACAGCCACACTCATATTCGAGACAGCACTGCAGTTGTTTACAATTTATGGGTACACAAAGTGTGGTGATGTCAATTTCGTTTGAAACACTAAAATTGATCTGTTACCCAAATTTCAATAGTTTATTGAATTCTTAAGGTTGCTTCAGTTCCATGGATTCCGTTAATTTCAAGAGTTCCATGAGTTCAGAACTTAAGAAATCTGATATATCCCTCAGTGAGGTAAATGGCATCTTGAGAGTGTGTGAGTAAGACTAGAAGAATGAATGTATCATCACTTACAATCTTGCTAAAATAATTTTTGATGTATCTTACATTCATTTGAAATATGTGTAAAATAAAAAGAAACTGTGTTTGTTCACCATTGAGATTCGCATAATTTTAGTGTGCATCCTAATGACAACGAGAAAACGTCTGCCCTATGCATACGTTCATAACTAGAACTATGTTTTTAATAAATGTATTTTGATGCAACACATATTAGGAAACATTTGATTTGTATATAGGGGCGTAACCAGAAAAAAGGCGTAGAGGGGGCTCTGCCCCCTCCTCCCAATAGCGCACATAATCTCTGAGATAGGTAGTGGTGGAACTGTTTCGCTCTTTCATGAAAAATTAACTCTGTTTGCCATTTTCGGAATGAGTTTCTTATAATAACAGTGCAGTATAAATTATTTTTCGCGTTGATTTTTAGTGTTGATAACACAATAATCGCGTAAAAATATTTAATGTTTGTTTCACCAGGAAACGCTCTCAAAGACGCAATTTTTCGCAAAAAAAATAAAACATTTTTTTCAAAAAACTATATAAATTCATATCAGAGAAGCTTACGTTTTTCGAGTGACAAGCGCAAAACGAAGTTAGTTGTATTATACCCACAGCCGCCTTCGGCGGCTAGACTCTGAATAGTTATTTCAAAAAAAAGAAGACCACTACGAACGGTGAAAGAACGCTTTGTTGCTGGAAGCAAATGAAAGAATGAAACTTTATTCTAGATTTGAGTCTAAGTGAAAAAAAGGGTTATTGATTAGAAAAAAAGTATCTTGAAGTAACTGATTGGCGAAACGAATTTTTTTTGAATAATAAAGCAAGAAAATTGAGCTATAAAAATATGTTTCTCAAAAAATATCTTCCAGATTCCTCATTTGTTGCGCTGTGAATGAACTAAAAAGTGATTCAAAGGTTTGACTCTCTTTTTTGTGACATTCTGTATACTACATTACATATATTCTAAGTTTACCGAAATATACAGTCTTATGGG